GTTTTGATGTTAGCTTCAGTCATTGACAGAGAAAGTTACGATGTCACATACGCGACTTTTAGGTTCTGTGGTCTTTGTAATTACGTATTTCACAGTCTTATATCTCAACAGTTTTACATCAAACTACGACCTTCTTTAATTTAAAATGTATCTTTTAAATCGACAAAGATCATGTGTAATTCAGGGCACAATTCAAACGGGATCAAAATATTTGTTGTCTCCTGTCATTGACTACCGTACAATATTTTTCCGAAATAAGGCCCCATGGTTGTCCACTGGAAGGGGAGGGACTTAGGCTCTCTATTGAAAAAGCTTATTAAGAGTCAGCTGTTCATTTTTCCAGTAAGTACCTTTTGTTTTAAACCCGTTTGTCGCTAGTTAAAATTAGCATCCCAGATGGCCAAATGCCAAACTCGAGGTTCACAAACCAACTGGTGAAGTCACGGCGGCTGCGCCCACTTCTTTTATAAAGGTTCTGATGGAGATATATAATATATATGTTGATAAATGTTTGTAGCTATACAACATTGTCTGGCTGCAGTATGTAACTGTATGTCTACAGGACGTAGTAAAAGCAATCAACGTTTCCATAATAAATACAGGGCTTGACCAATGGATTTCCATGACTTTTTCATGACTACGAGCTAAATATTTATGACCGAACAAAGACAAAGAGCAGGCCCGTGTCTGCACATGATTTGTAAGAATAATGCCAATTAGCCTTTTAGCGCCCATAGTACCTCCGCAGTTAGTAGTTAGTCTATTTCATTCTATACAGCAGTTTTTAGTAGCTGGTGTCCTCGCCATTATTAAATCTTAAACATTTATGTGGCAGGGTGTATTTTCTAGATAGTGGGCCAAACCAACTACCAGAGGCAACTGACGTAAAATAAACACACGAGAGAGCGTAGCATATGTGAAGTCTCAACAGAGCCTTCTCCATTTTATAGGCTAGTGACTAATCGGTAGATGTCATTAGTGTTTACTGGCATTGGCATTAGTCAGGCGTGTGATTGGCATAGGACAAAAAAGCAGGACAATAACTCAAGAGCACATGGTGCGGTGCTGTGGGTCCTCTCCCAAGAAAATTATAGATATTTGAATAAAACTGCATATCCACATAGTTTTAGACTATTATCATTACAGTGTTCTAAATCTACATCTTTCTAGTATAAATGAGTGTATCAGTATAATTTTTAACAATAATTATAAAGTATGAAGTTCAATTAATAGAATGTGTTAGTGTAATGTTAAGATATTCATTCTAGAATGTTACTATATTCATCATCATTTCATATAATAATATACTGTATGACTTTCCACTAGTATTATATAAATTCCAGTTAAACAATACAGCAGTTTCTTTTTGTGGTTTGTTTTCATTTATTAAATTCTTGTGCAAGAAAATGGTCTCTAATGTGTAAATGCTAAGTTCTAACTCGTCAGTAATCATAACCATCAATGCAGAACAATGAGTTCAACACTAAAAGTTTTTTGTAGCACGTTAAACTTTTTATATTATTCAACCCCACCGAGGCTGTGATTGGTCAAAAAGTGACATTTAATGTGCACTTTATAAAAATAAATAGATGACACATACTGACGGCTTTTGTTTTAGCTAGTTCGTAACATTTCGCTATTAGCTTAACAAGTTGTAACAACAATTACGGACAAAGTATGTGGAAACATTGCTTTCCTACTTCTACGTATCACTTCACCTGCTTCGCTGCCTCCACCGCCGCGTGCGAGCTGAGCTCCGCCCCTGGTCAAACATGCAGAGGAGAGAACAGAGCAGCACGACATAGCATAATATAACCAACTCAAAACTATGATTGTCACAAAATATATTGTCTTGCTGTCTCATAATTCAGATTTACTATTCCATAATCTCACCATTATGACTTGTATCAAGATTATGACTTTTTTAAATTTATTTATGCTCAGTATTGATTCCTGGCACTACTGGGCTTCCATACATTGTGTTGTGAGTTTGGCAGAAATATTGGCCCTTTTGACTGATAGATTTATTCTCCGTCCTTCACATTAATGTCCATTAAAGTCCGTCTTCGGCAGGTGAAGGCGTCTCGTCTCCATTGAAATTCCTGAAGCGGAGCGATCATCATCAGGACGGTCTCGGAGGCCGAAATCAGTGTTAATAAATCAATCCCCAGCCTGGGTGAGCTCTCTCATCGCTCCCTCAGCTGCTTGCTAAACAAATGGATTCAGCATGTTTAATGAGGGGGGGGTTGGAGGAGGTAACTAATACCTTTAATGATCTCAGCAGACTAGAATCGCTGGCACCGGCCCAGAGCGAGCGGTCGGGGAGATGTTTTGGACAGCGGCACCACAGAGGTCATGGATGAAGATGCTCTGGTAATGTGGCAGATTTACGGCCAAGCGATGAAGATGCCCCCCCACCCCGGCATGGAAAAGGCCATGAAACAGCCCACACACTGATATCACAGGCCTGTTGACGTCTCAGTGGTTTGACATGTTAAACGGCGTCTGGGGTAACTGAAGTGATGACAAGGGCAGATGAACGTCGTCTCTTCTCTGTCTGTTTGTTTGTGGTATTAAGAACTCACTGAAACTTTAAAGCTTGGCTCGTCTCTTGTTCCCAGCCTGGATGGGGTTTTTAAATAAATGTAGCGGGTCAAACTGGTTCAGGTTAGCTAACTGTTTTTCTAGCTAGTAAAACTGTTAGCTAACCTGACCCAAACTTGGTTTAGCAGCTACAACAGTTTGGTTCCAGTTAGCTAACTGTTTAGTTTAGCAGCTACAACAGATGTGGCTCCAGTTAGCTAACTGTTTAGTTTAGCAGCTACAACAGTTTGGTTCAGGTTAGCTAACTGTTTAGTTTAGCAGCTACAACAGATGTGGCTCCAGTTAGCTAACTGTTTAGTTTAGCAGCTTCAATAAGTTTGGTTCCAGTTAGCTAACTGTTTCATTTAATAGCTTCAATCATTTGGTTCTAGTTAGCTAACTGTTTAGTTTAGCAGCTACAACAGTTTGGTTCATGTTAGCTAACAGTTTAGTTTAATAGCTAAAACACTTTGGTTCCAGTTAGCTGTTTAGTTTAGCAGCTACAACAGATGTGGTTCCAGTTAGCTAACTGTTTCATTTAATAGCTTCAATCGTTTGGTTCTAGTTAGCTAACTGTTTAGTTTAGCAGCTACAACAGTTTGGTTCAGGCTATTTATATTGGTTGCAGACAAAGTAAAATGTACTTGGACGTGGTCAATTATATGGCAAAAATATCAAACATAATATATAATATAAACATAATAATTAGCATTTCCAATGCAGCAAAGATACAGAATGCGTGTTGTTGTTTCTACAGTGGCTTCCACAACAACACAAACACCTGAGCTTCAGAGGAAGCTTTTGTATTTACCACAGGATGAACTCTTTAGCTGCAACAGGCTTTATGAGAAATTTAATGAGCAGCTGCATAATCAGTATTTGTTCAACAGGAGATGCTTCGTGTCTGCTCTGCTCTTCCTCTTTGGACGAACCACTTGGTCTTCACGGTAAAAATATTTGCTTTTAAATGGATTATGCTTGAAGTGATGATATTTGGGTAAGACTCCGGCGTAGGAGTGATTGAGAACGGACCGTCTGTCCCGTGAGAGTCAGCCTGAGCTTCCTAAGACGTCTCAGGAGAACAGACGATTATGTATAAAGGCTTCCAGATACATAACGGGGGGCACAAATGGATTCTGGGGGCAACTGGCTCTTGTCCATTATCCACTCAAAGATGGCCTCTACAAAGAATCTCGCTCGCTGCAAGTAGTTAGATTAAATAATATGGCCATCAAGCTCATGTAGAAGACTCATCGTTCTGTGATTTTGGGCTCTCCAACAGGCGATGTCCTTCAACGCCAAGGACCGTTAACTGCAGTGTGAGCAGCGTCCACAGGGAGCGGCGAGGTTATAACCTGCTGCACGGCTGTTTGGATGTACATTACCTTTAATGCAGTGCTACACGTCACCCGGGGAAGTCCCAGGGCTGTTTTCAAATGCAGCAGTGAGATGCATTGCAGATAGCTGCACATTTTTTAACCGATATACCCCCTCTGCATTCAGTTCAGGTCCGGTGCAACACGTCTGGGAATTTTAAGGTTTAAATCACGTAAGCAGGAGTTCACATTGTAGGATTACATCATTTTAAAGGCTGATTCTCAGATTTTTTTATGCAAAAATTAACTAAGAATTTGACTGTTTTTAGGCAGAAAACATATTCACTACTAATTCCAGACAGTGTGGAGACGGGGTTGAACTGTGTTCATTGATCCTAGTTTCAGTCTGTTTTCCTGTTTATTTGCTTATGATCTGTGTTTCTGAGGTTTTGGGTTTTGTATCAGTGTGCTTGTCCTGTTCTTGGCTTATTTTGAAATTGTCTGTTGTTCCACGCGTTAGCTTTTTCCTGTTTTACTTTGATATCATCCAGACTGGTGTCTGAAGCCGCTTTCACGCTGCCATATTTCTGGTAGCATTACACCAATATGCCGTCTCGCTACGCTGTATGAAAGGTACGGCGCTGGAGAGGGGGGTCCGATTTGATCCGCCAGCGAGAACGACGTCTGTGTGAAAAGCCACAGCCGACACGCCGGTGTTGTTTTACACGTAACGGTGTTTTCTAAGAGAGGTGGGGAGCTGCACGCTTGCCGGGGTTCTGATTCTTCCTCTGAGATTTCTTTGCTCTGGTTCTTGTTCGTCACTGAAAGTATTCTGGAACCCTTCAGTGCCTGTAGCAGGGCCGCCTTTACTTACAATCACCTGCAGGCTCAGTTTTAAAGGCATTTGTTTCTTATCTAAGAAGCATTTGTTTGGTTTTGAAGATGCTTTTTTTTATTTAATTAATATTTTGTTTTTTAATATGTGGTTGTGTCTCTGAGCTGAGACCTGTGGAATCAATCAGAGCCGCCACAAACACTTAAATCAATACTGTATTGGTTTGTGGTGGTGCAGAAACAGACGTTAGCATTTTGTTTTCACAGTGATTTGGATCTGAACCTGGACCTTTTGGATAGGTGCTGCAGAGCTTTAGACCAGGTCTGAACTTGAGTCCTCTTCACTGGCTCTCTATCAAACCCAGAATCCAATTCAAGGCTCTTAGTAACTTCTAGAGCTCTGCAGGTCTCTGAGGCACTTCTAGATTTGTGAGCTCTGTTTGTATTTATCATGTGACCATTCACCTACACTGAGCATGTGCGTGCCGGTGTAAACAGGAAGCAGATTGTCTACTCTGCAGCTAAAGAAGAAAGTTCTACTGGAGACGAACGCAGAGCAGCGATGGTGAAGAACCACAGCAGAGACTTCTCTGCACGGAGCGACAGCGAGATGGAACACGGGAGGTCAAAGAGGCTGTGGCGGCGGGAAACAGAGACCTGCAGAGTACAAGAGTAGAAGTGTTGTTTACACAGTACAGCATGTTTTAATAAAACTCTGTTTGACTGACTGATAAGAGCCAATCAGGAAACCAAACGTGAGCGTCTGCGTCATCGTTTCCACCTGTCAGCACTAACACGCCGGAGTTTAAAACCAGAACGGGGTCAGCGGTGTTTTCAGACTTCTACGTTTCAGTCTGGACGGGAGGCGGAGACGTAGCAGAAGGGCTGAGTGTTAAAACCAAAATGTAGTCGTGTGGACGGAGCCTGGCGTCCTCTGATCAGGGTCTGCTGGTTGCTCCTCGATCCAGGAAACTGAGGACTTTGAAGGTAACCTTTGGACGCCTTTTCAAAGCTCAGGACCCGTTTGTTTGGACTTTCCTTTGTGTAGTTCGTTCTGTACTGTGTCTGTATGTCGCATGCTTCCTGACGTCTCTGCTTATCACAGTTAAAACACTTATTCACATTTTCCTTGCTGACTTTTTAGTCATTTACATTTGGCTTTGCATTAAAAATAGACCTTTACATTCTATAAATTAAGATCTCTGTGCTCTGAGAATTTTTTTGGTGTTAACTTTTGATATCAGCTCTGCCCGACCCGAACCCGAAGAGTTTCCAAACATTACCTCATGATGAGAAGGAAAGTGCTGCTTTGATTTAAGAGATGCCAGACAAGCTGAAGTTGCATCACAGACTTATTAAGGCTGTGGACGTACAGCTGCATAGATTTACACCACATCAGACCACTTTTTACAAGACAGTTGATGAGATTCAAGTATCCTCCTTCACACAGCAGCGGCGTATAAATATTTACCTGCAGTGCGTCTGATTCCATCTGTCCGGCGCTGGTGCTGCCCTCGTATATTTCCCTCTGGGATCTGTGAAGATGTAGCAGAGATCCGGGCTGACCGAGACTCTTATTAAAACAATGAAGCTCATAATTATCCTGGAATTCCAAAGCAGTGCTATAGTCGTAATGAGGCCACACAGGAGCCGGCTTATAAAGAATGAATGTAATAAATAAGCCATTAGATGGGCAGTAAAAAGAGGAGGATATAAAAAAAGACAACAACGCTGAAATGAGTTCAGACAGGTCTTGTTGTCTCTTGATGAGCACTTGGAGAAGTTTCTATTTCCGACCTTTAACAGTGTTTGTTTGAGAGTCAAACCTGTATTAAAAATGAGACTTTAAAAAGCTGCAGTGCACATCACAAAATCCACATGATCATTTACAGTTTCCTCATGTTGTTAACTGAAGGAAGAGGGAAGATTAGAAAATGTGCTCAGGGATGAACAATTTAAAATATTTGCACCAAAGCGACCCGACGGCCTCCTGTTCACGGCCGTCGTTTAATATTAACATGTGATTCTGTCATTGGTTTGTTTTCCCAGGTGCTTGTTGGTGGTTGGAGGTTTGGGCTGTTGGGTGTGACATTGGGTGGTACTCTTACATTCTTGGTGTTTTTAAATGGCTCTGTAGTGTGAAGCAATTTCTGTTACATGCATTTGTATGAAAAGTGCTATATAAATAAAGATTGATTGATTGAATATATATTAATATAAAGTCCTATAAATATCAGAATTGGTGGTATGATGCAAGATTCCCACTCTTGGGAGCTGGACACACACAGTATTTATCATTCAGTATTTATTCCTTTGCACTATTTTACAGAAACACTTGACTTGTGTGTTTCTGGTCAATGTTGCTGTTTTTTGTCTTTTGTCAGGGTTTTGGGTTTAAGGGTTATTATTTCCTGTTTTTTATTTTGTAAAATGCTTCCTCTTTTTTCCCATGTTTCCTGTTTTATTTTGGTATTTTCCTCTCATCTCGTTTCGGTTCACTTCCTCCTTGTGCGATTGTTTGCTCCTCCCTGATTGAGGTCACCTGTGTCTCGTTAGCTTGTCCTCACTAGTATATTTAGTCTTGCTGTTCTTGCTGCTCTTGTCTTGTCAGTCGGTGTATATTGTCTGGAGTTGAAGTGTTAGTTTCCTGGACTGAATAGTTCCTTGTGTTGTTGGGCTTTAGATTATGATTCTCACATGCTCCCTACTCTGTTTTTCTCTTCAGGAGAACACAGAAAGTGCTTTAGAGAGCAGCTATGTTGCTGTAGCAGACAGATAAATTAATTAAAATTTCAGCAGGACTTTAACTTAAGAACAGCTTCAACGCTATTTATTTGTTAGCTTTTCTGTAGTTTACATGAACTCTACAAAGCCGTCTTCCAGATTCTAATTTGTCCAGAAAGTCATGTCTTCAAACAGAACAGATCTGGGTCAAAGTTAATGATCAGTTATGAAGTTCATCTAGCAACTGTCAGTGTTAACAAAAAAACTCTTAAAAACCCTTTTAAACATCTATTTTTTTTTCTTTTTTTAAACCCAAAAATCAAAGTCACAAGCAGAAGTTTGAAAGGCAGAAGTTGAAACTGGGTCCCCAGTCCTGCACTGGTGTCTTCATTTCTCTGTGTTCCAATCAACTGCTTTTGGTGTGTAGACGACAGACGTTATAGAATTTGTGGTGAAACCGCTTTGCTTGAGGAGATTTAGTTCTTCCACTGATTGAATGACTTGTTTGCTGCAAGTTCACATTGTCCTGTTGGCCAATAGCAGACTGTCCTTTTCACAGCCTGTAGAAAAGTAGTCGCCGTAGCCCCGCCCTCAAGCCTCCCCTGCTTCCTGGTCTCTGTTCCTCTAAATGGGACCATAATTTACTAAATGAACATCATGCTGTGTGGAAGAAGACTTGAAACTAGCGACTGAGACCATAAACTCATCAGGAAAGTGTTTACTGAGGGAATAAATCAGCTGACAAGTAGAAACATTTTCTCACAGACTTCTATACAATCACACTTCTTTCTGCAGCCGCTGGAGTCGCCCCCTGCTGGCTGCTAGAGAGGATGCAGGTTTAAGTCGCCCCCTGCTGGCTGCTAGAGAGGACGCCGGTTTAAGTCGCCCCCTGCTGGCTGCTGGAGAGAACGCAGGTTTAAGTCGCCCCCTGCTGGCTGCTGGAGAGGACGCAGGTTTAAGTCGCCCCCTGCTGGCTGCTAGAGAGAACGCAGGTTTAAGGCGCCCCCTGCTGGCTGCTAGAGAGGACGCAGGTTTAAGTCGCCCCCTGCTGGCTGCTGGAGAGGACGCAGGTTTAAGTCGCCCCCTGCTGGCTGCTAGAGAGGATGCAGGTTTAAGTCGCCCCCTGCTGGCTGCTAGAGAGGACGCCGGTTTAAGTCGCCCCCTGCTGGCTGCTAGAGAGGATGCAGGTTTAAGTCGCCCCCTGCTGGCTGCTAGAGAGGACGCCGGTTTAAGTCGCCCCCTGCTGGCTGCTGGAGAGGACGCAGGTTTAAGTCGCCCCCTGCTGGCTGCTGGAGAGGACGCAGGTTTAAGTCGCCCCCTGCTGGCTGCTAGAGAGGATGCAGGTTTAAGTCGCCCCCTGCTGGCTGCTAGAGAGGACGCCGGTTTAAGTCGCCCCCTGCTGGCTGCTGGAGAGAACGCAGGTTTAAGTCGCCCCCTGCTGGCTGCTGGAGAGAACGCAGGTTTAAGTCGCCCCCTGCTGGCTGCTGGAGAGAACGCAGGTTTAAGTCGCCCCCTGCTGGCTGCTGGAGAGAACGCAGGTTTAAGTCGCCCCCTGCTGGCTGCTGGAGAGAACGCAGGTTTAAGGCGCCCCCTGCTGGCTGCTGGAGAGAACGCAGGTTTAAGTCGCCCCCTGCTGGCTGATAGAGAGGATGCAGGTTTAAGTCGCCCCCTGCTGGCCGCTGGAGAGGACGCAGGTTTAAGGCTTCACTTAAGTTTTTGCTGTAACACTGGATAAAAAAAAAGACATGATCATGAAGGTTCCTCCTGCCTCGTGTCAACTGGTTCGATAAGGAGCGATACTGATAAGTAAAATGTGTACTTGGATAAACAACTTAAAGTATTTGCCCGCTGAAGAGACTCGGGCTGTTTGTTGTTGTTTCTCAGGAGCACTGAAGCCCCAGCAGAGCGAACAGGAGCTCCGTTACCCCAAATACCCGTCAAATCCAACAAGGCCATCACAGCTCCATCAAGGCAGTGAAAATTGTCCTCCTTTTAATGGCTGCTTTGAAGTAAAAAGAATTATCATATCGCTGGAAGTATTAAAGTTCCCCAGAAGGAACCCTACAGTTTTATTAGTTTTACGGCTGCTGTCTTTTTACACATTTGACCGCCTTCCTGGAGCAAGTATAACACCAAAGTTAATGGCTAACGGAGAGAAAGTCAAAGGGAAAACTTGGCTGATTATAGCTATAACTCCTGCAGATACTAATTACCAGTGGCTGTAAAATAAGTCAAACTGGTCATCCTAATGAGTCCACCAGAGACCGATTGTTAAACTCCATTAAAAAGATCTATTTTCTTTCTCCTTTTTTATTTGTGTTTTTTTATTTTTTCTCCGCTGTCAGCGTCATCTTATCAAGTGTAACCAAACTCCTGTTTTAAAGGTCATGACGCTGCAGCCACCAAATACAGTAATTAATGTAAAAATTAAGCCCAACATAAACATTGAAAATGGGGTTTCACGGTGTGGTGGAGGAGAAATCCTCTTCATTAACTGCTTTTGCGGGTGGACTTGACTTGGTGGTGAGTCGGATCTTAACAGCACAGGTAGTGAACATATATGAAGTCTGATGCTTGTGTTTGTGTCGCCGCCCCTCTGCCCGGTATGAGAGGGAGGGTGTTTCCATTATATCCACCTTTTTCTGGATAAAGGTCGTAAACAGGATCTGACATCACCGCTGCACTCGCTACTGTAACGTGTGGATCAAATAAACAACGGCTGTATTAAGATTCAGGACTGATGTTGAGGAACAGTTTGTCTTTTAGAATAATGAAACTGAAAGCGTTTGTGTGGAATATTTCTTTAAGAACGTGACTGAAGATATTTATGAAAAATATTCTTTTATGAACAGACTGATTCGTTACAGTTGTGAGTTTTCTCCTCCAACATTTCCACTTTTTGGCGGCGAAATGCATTCTGGGATACCTGGCTATCCAAAGTCCAGACAAGTCACCACCCGGAACAGGCTCGGCTACAGGGGCGGGGCGAGAACACATCCTGGTTTTTGACTGTACTTGGCTAGATGCGCACTTTTGAATTGGAACAGTACTTTTGGCTGCGACTGTGACGTTCAAGGTATTTTCTCAAATTTGGAGGTTGGAAATTTCTGAGTTACCTTGAACGCAGCAGAAGGTTTGTTGTCAGGCCGCGACCTCTGGTGACAGAAGAGATTTGCTTTTCATGTACTCGTATCGTCCTTAATTGATGCATCCTCAGCAGAGAAACGGCGGTACAGCAGCTTATTACGACCCGTGTTTAGGTT